CCACCTGCATCATCTATGTTTCATCTTAGCTCTAGCTGCCGCTTCTGAAGATTCTCCATTAGTCCCCACCCCCCGGCACAATCTTAACTCGGCAGGTGACCCCACGCCCCAGGTGCCACGTTCCCATCGGGGAAACGCACGGCAGAGGCAGCAACTGCCGCCCCAGCGGGCGCACTCAGCAGCACCCCCGGGCGGGGACTGCGGGGCCCCGCCGTGCCGCCACCAGCAGGCTCACGCACGCCACGTTCCATCCACCTGTCTGAGCCATCCCCGACCCGCCTTCCTCCTCTCGACCTGCTCCGGGCACAGCTTGGAGTGTGCTCACCCTGCTCTGCGCAGAGCCAGGGGCAGGGCGCCTGCCAGAAACGAGGCCACGCCCGACGGGATAAAGCAAAGCCGACAGGCGCAGGCTCGCGGGGACAGGAGCGCGCTGGCGGAGGGTCTTGGGGACGGGGAGGGTGGGGCTGCTGCACAGCAGGGACACTGAAGCCACAGAGCCCGGCAAGCTCAGCTACCTTTTGTGAGACGACTCTGTTTCCCTTTCGTCCTGTCATCTGAATCCAAATCCGTTTCCGACACGTGTTCTGGGAGTCGCTGGGGCCCCAGCGGCGGGCCCGGCTGCAGGCGCCCTGAGGGCAGGCTCACTCCCGCTGTTTGGGGCCCCCGGCCGCCCCCGTGCCCCTCGTCGGACTCCACGCCCTCGGAGTCACTGAAAATGGCCGCCTTTTTAAGGAAAGCAGCGTTCCAGTGACCCGCACGGTGTCCCCCTCCGGCACGCCTTCCTGGCTCCGAGTCTGCGTGCTCCTCAGAGGCCCCCTCTGCCTGGAGTCTCTGCCTAGATGTGGACGGGCCAGCAGCTGCGTCGTGTGCGCTGTCTGAGCCGTGGCCGGGGGAGTCGTCCTCGGAAGACTCTATTTTAAGGAACTTCGCCTTGGAGGCGGCGGGGGCGTGGGGCCGGTAGCCGTTGGCGTGCCAGCTCTTCCGGGCGAACCGCAGATCGCTTTCGGACTCGGAATCCTCGTTGTCAGACCCACTGGCCGCGTGCTGGGCAGGGCAGGCCCTGGGCAGCGGGGCCGACCGGCCCTGCTCTTCCAGGTCTTCGCCTTCCAGCTCCGACTTCACGCTCTGCTCGTCCTCCGAGTTCTGCAACAGCTTCCTCCTGGCGACGGCAGAGGCGTTGCGGTGTGGCACTCTCCGGCCAGAGCAGGCGCTGGCGGAGCTGGAGTCCTCCTCGGCGTCGCTCATGAGCTTGATCTTGTCGGCGGCCAGGGCCGCACACCTGCGGAGCACCTTCCGGCTGCCCCCGGCCCTGGCCGCCCGGCGCACGCCGGCCTCTGCGGAATTGTTATCGGAGTCGCTCAGATAGACCCGCTTTCGAGTGGCTTTTCGGCCGATTCCATTTTCCAAGGACACCAGACCTAGAAAGAAAGGACCAGAGAGGCCTTCCTTATTTTGTCACTTTGGAACAACACTCATGCTCACACACCCTACTCCACAACCTGAAAGTGAAAGTCCACCTCCTTCGTGGAGTCAGAAAGCCGGGGCTGCAGCGCCCCCCGCAGTCGGCTGAGCGCCACCGGCCACCCACGCCCCACGCCCGGGCCTCTCACCACGTCTCTGCTGGGCTGCTCTGGTCCTGGGCACCCGCAGGCTGCCGGCCCTGGCCGGGCCCCCACGAGAGGCGGCCTCACAAGCTTGCGCGCCTGCTGTGCTGTCGTCAGAGCTGCTGGAGGATGAAGACGAAGACGGCGAGCCTGAGGCATCTTCCATTTCACTTTCTAAGGAAAACAGAGCAGCAACCACATTATATGCATTTTCCTATTTTTACACACTAAGCAGTTACTTCATAACAGAAGACCTAAAGCGGTTTCTTAAAAATACTGACAGGATGCAAACTGCCCACAGAACAGTTGACGACATTCTGCACACATTCAGCATTGTGAACAAATGTAGTCTTCCGTTTCTGGTAGCAAAGTAATAAAGACAATTGGATTTAGAAGAAGTGTGTGCATTTCATAGACATCCGTTTAAAGATGTGATCAGCCTCAAGACCCATACATCCGTCTGCTGCAGGAGACAGGGCCCTTCAACAGGCAAAGCGCAATCGTTTCAGCAGACGCGGTCTGTCTCCTGTTACCCTAACAGCACAGCTATGTGAACAAGCTTTCAGCTCAAGAAAGCACCTTTTTACAGGTTCCACCAAAAAGAGGTGAAAGAAACCCTGTGACTAGTGCAGGTCACGATATGTGCACCCCGCTGCAAGCTTAGCCGGAGACCTGTGTCCTCAGTCCCTTCATCCAAACGTGTTTCTTACATTCCAGTCACAAATGAACACTGAGTGGAAACACACTGTTAAAAGACAAATGCTTGCTCTGCAATGCACCCCACTGTTCCTGCGCCACAAGAACGGGGCGCCTTGGTGTCTCTCCCCGAGGCGTGTGCCACCTGCAGGCTGCTTTGCCCACTGCCTGGCACATCGACCTTTGGCCAGAGTCCTCCTCCCGCATCGCACCACCCAAATGACCGTCTCCCTGAAGCTGACTCCATCCTCTGAACTGCGTGACGCAGGCCAGGCTAGTGACCCACCCGCTACGAGACTGGCCCGTCTGGGCACTCGGCTGCGTTCTCCCATGTGCTCCTGTCACTGAGTCACAGCGGTGACCGCGGCCCCGTGCAGGACCCCACTGCCACCACCAAGGGAGGGGGGCACAGACAGGCAGGGTTTACTCAGCCGCAAGCTTTAAACCCACGCAATGACTATGCCTCTTTTTTTTTTTTTTGTAAATTTAAACCAATACCAAAATGTGAAATTTTACAAAATGTGGTATCTCTACAATTTGGAGGGCTCAAATTTGCGTAAGCTGTGGCTGCCTGCTGGGAGTCCAGACCTGCTGCCGCGGCTCCTGTGAGGACCGCGCTTCCCTGAGCGTCAAGGTCAGAGCCACCTGCTGCTGCGCGGCGCTCTGAGCGTCAGCGTCAGGTGACACCCGCCTGCGTCCGTGCCTCACCAGATAACGTGGAGCCATTTGTCAGCGGGACGGGTCTCCTCCTCCTCCTCTCGGACGAAGCGGCAGAATCTGAAGAGTCGGAAGTGGCCCCTGACGACGCACTCGCCCCACGGCCTGCGGGACCCGCAACTCGGCTGCAGGCTGACCGGGCAGGAGAGCTGACCAGGTCCAGAACCGCCTTCGTCTGCGATTTCAGCCGCCTCTGCTTGATATTTCTGCTTGAAGATATGGACAAAGAAACAATCCCTATTAAACCATAAAAGTAACTGGTTCACTAAGTAAAAATGCACTTTTTAATCTATTGTTTCTTAATCTGAAATAACTTTATGGCCAAAAGATTAAAATGTTCATTATTGACATCTCATTCTACCATGGAGTAATATTCTGCTACTCTAAATCTGAAATGATTTTATTCCACATCTGACTAATAAACAAATGATCAAGTAATAGAGAAAGTCATGATGAAAACCTTAGGTTCTTTGTATTAAATACTAAGGAAAATCGGCCCTCCCTGGTGGCGCAGCGGGTTAGAGCACAGCACTGAGAAGCTAAAGCCACTTCCGCATGAGTTTGATCCCGCCCTGCCCCGGAGGTGACCCCCAGGGCGCGGCAGGTCTCTCCTGACCCGCCCACGGCTCTAGTCAGCAGTGTACTTCGTCCATAGGCCTGTTCTGCTCCCCACTCTGCCTCTGGTGAAGCCTCTCACCCTCCGCATCTCTGGCCTGTACCCCAGTTCTGTATGAATAAATAAAATAAATCTTTAAAAAAAAAAATCATGAGTGGGGACAATGCACCCAGGCAACATCCTCCCCAAGAGCACTGGGAAAGTTGCCACAGTTCTGAGGTTCTCGGTGAAAATCAACAGTTATTTTAAAGACTTCTGAAGGCACAAAATTTAGGCAAAAGTCTGGTTAATGTACACACTGAGTTTTGAAAAGAAAGGGGGCTGCTAAAATGTCCCCCTATCTATTTAGAGCCTTATCCTGAGACCTGGTAGTCAGGCCATAGCTGAGGCTTCTTTCTTTGCCTGAAGACAGAAATCCTCACAACACTAGGCCTGTCTCCTAGCCTTGCCTGCCTATGTTGGGAGGGGGGGTGTACTTTGTACTTTCTCAAGTGTTAATTTTTAGTGAACAATGCTGAAAATATTTTGACTGACTTTGAAGAAAAACATGGAATGGAATGAAAAACAGAAAAAATAAACAGTACAACAGGTGAAGGTGGGAACAGTGTACAGAAAGTTCTTTGAGTTGTTCCAGTTTTCTAGAATTCTGATTCACAATGCAAAGTCTTAAGAGTGTCGAAGATGGGGACTTAACTCTTGTGTTTCTTGTACTTGAATTAAGGATCGAAGCACAGCTCAACAGGACTAAGGCAGTCACCTTCACGCTATGCTTATCTGTTTCTCCTACTCTAAATCTGGGGTGCGGGGCTTCAGCAAATCATCATCCTAAAAGCAAATAAAAGCAGCCAAACAACCCAAAGCATCTCAGCACTCCAGAAAGCCGAAGGCATGCAATGGCATTTCTGGCAGAAAGCTGAATGCAAGCACAGCAGTGGAGCCCTTTGCACTGTCACTTGGGGCTCCCCGAATCACACGTGCCCTGCTGTGGCAGCGCGGCCTGATGGTGGCTACACAGCGAGAGGGAGCTGGCCCGACCGACCCATGGCTGGAACGCCGCCAGGCGGACAGCAGGGCTGGGGCACAGGTGCAGCAAGCAGGGCCCGGACAGGAGGCAGAGCACAGCCCGAGGCGAGGAGGATGTCGCCCGCGGGGTCTCTGCAAAGCTCCAGCATCTTCCAGGATGCGGAAGGTTGTCTACGTGCTCGAGGAAGACAGTTACTACTCACCTCCACTAAGCTTGAGACTCATGTCTGGTAATAAAAGCACGGGGAAGCCCGCCCCACCTCATAGAGAGGCCCTCAAAAAGGGGGAGCCCCACTGAGAGTGACTAGGTAGGAATTTCTGACCACAGAGCGACGCTGAACCAGGAAGACCAATAATGGGACCAAATCGAAAGCAACACTTCTCTAAGCATCTTGGAGGCGCTGGTGCCTATATGCTGCAGGGAGACAGACCGCAGAACTGGCCTCAATGCCGTGTGCAACCAACCAGCAGCCCCCACCTGAAGGAGCGGGGAGGGAGCAGAGGCACCACAATCCAGAGTCGCTACAAACATTAACAGCACACAGCAAGGACAAAAACTGGGAGAGATGTAGGTCCCAGAGCTGCGTGACATTATTGACGATGTCTGGACGGTTGGCCCATACGCAGGAAAACTCGCAGGAAGGCAGAAATCATTTGAGAGGACCCAGACGTTGGATGGAAGATATTCAAATTAACTATTGCAAGTATGTTCACAGAACAAGGCAAACCAACGAAAGGAAAGTATAAACAGTATCACAGGGACAAAAAAACCACCGAGCTGGAGCTGGAAATATACACCTAAGCCAGTATTCACAGAATGCACACCGCAGCAGGTCTGAGCTGAAGGGGCAGATCAGTAAGGATCAGCCAGTCTGAAGAACAGCGGAAAAACCCTTGCAAATGGAGAGCCTCTGGGACCTGGGGGCACGACTCCATCAACGTGTACAGGCCCAAGGAGAGAGGACGGAGGCAGAACAAATGATCTAAAGAAACGACTGGAAAGCACCCATAAAGCTGGACACAGCCCCAGAAGGGCGAGCACGTCATACCTCCCAGACAGGAGCGAAAGCTGGCTTAAGGGCCACTAGTCAAACAAGAGGGTGGGCGGGCCATCCATGCCATGCGAAGGCCCGTCCACTGAAGCGCCTCCCAGCCCCTTCGGGGAGACAGACTCGCCGGCAAGCCCGGGGACGCTGTGGCCTGCCTGCCTCATGAGCAGCACTGCAGAAGTGACCGCAAAAGGCAACTCGGAGCCACGCGAGGATACAGAAGCCGCCAGGAGGGCGACAGCGTGGGTAAGGACCGCGAGGGCATGGACGAGCCTGCTTCTCCACTATTTGCCAAGACCACGCGTGAAGCACACAAGGATGTCGCCGCAGGGCACAGCCGAGAAACGGTGGGGAGAGTAGGGGAACCACGGCAGCTGTCGGCCTTGCAGCTACCCTCAGGGCGCGAGGCTCCATCTCCAGTGGACACTCACCCCAGCCCTCAACAGCGGCAACAGCCACTTTCGTCTGCATGAAAAGAAAAGGTTTCTGGACTCGACTCATTACACTGCTCTGGGCTCTATGAACTCTTGAACAGTCTGGAACAGTGCAGGATGATTTTGTGCAGGCCAAAGGAAATAATAAAATGGATAAAGCTTAATACTTACGAAGCACATTACAAAGTGAAACAAAATAAAAGCATAGGATAGGAGTTATTTATGTGATGCAAACAATACTTTAATCTTTGGACATTTTAAATTGCGGTGCTCATTAAATGCCCATGAACTGACATGGTCACATCAATGCACAGCTCTATGGTACCAGATACCTGCACACTAAGCTTTTCTTATGCCGTGTCTAAAATGAGTAAGAATAACTAGCTTTAAAAAAAAAAAAAAAAAAAATGAACAAAAAGCCTCGGACGGGGCAGCGCGCCCGGCCCGCAGCACCCTCTACCTGCTGGCGTCCGCCCTGCTGGCGCGGGTGCAGTTCTGCCGTCTCTGGAACCTCTGGCTCCTTCGAAGTTTTTTACTAAATTTTTGGCCAATTTTAAAATCAGAGGAGATTTTCTTCATTTTTTCTTCAAACAAGGCAGACAATCTCAAGGTCATACTGTAGATCTGCAAGGATATGAAAACAAAAACTAGAACTCCAAATACTTCTAAAAAGAATCTTGTCAAAGCAAACAGCAGCCAGAAGGCACCACGCGAGGCCCCTGCCTCCTCCGGCTGCCGAGACCTCCTGCCCTTCTCCGAGTGACGCCTGCAGAGGGAGAGAAACGCGCCTTTAAGAAAGCTGTATTCGCTCAATAGTCAGAGAAAAGAAAACGCGAGTAAGGAATCATAGGAAGATACACTTACAGTAGCAGACTATATACTGTGAGTTCAACTTGTTTATAAGGAAATCCATGTATACTGACTGGACCCCAAGAGTCCGAACCTGTTTTGTTTCCAGGTAACTGTGGTTGTCAAGCAAGCAACTCCCTATAACTAGGGCTCAGCTGTCTGTTGTCAGTGCTCATCACCTATTTTTCCCCATTTCCCTTCTGTAGGTATAAGCAAACCCCCACCCCAAATAACTCTATCACTCAAGTGATAGAGGATGCTGGTTTTTGTTTTTTTAAGATTTTACTTATTTATGCATACAAGAACTAGCCAGCGATGCAGGGGATGAGAGGACTACCCAGAGACAGAGTGGGGAGCAGAACGGGCAGATGGACAGAGTACACTGCTGAGGGGAGCAGTGGGGAGATAGGAGGAGTCTGCTGTGCCATGTGGGTCACTCCCTGGCCGGGCGTCAGGCTTGGGGTGCAGTGGCTGCTGACATCCTTTGTGCCACCAGGAAGGCCCCCAGAAGCTGGTTGGTTTTAATACTTTCTGTTCAGACAGAAAAGTAGGGTCCCCTTGGGGGGAGCCACCAGCAATCCCATCTGTCTGTATCTGAGCGCTTACTGCCTCAGATACCACTTAGATGGAAAAGTGTAGCTCGAAAACAGAAAAAATAATGTCCACAATCATTACTTAAAGAGTACATGTGCTTTCTGGAACTGCATAAAGGCAGAGGGAGGCCCCAGCAAACAAAGGTGAGCAGTGAGACCTGGAACTGTGCCTTCCGGCCAGTACACGACTATGGGAGACTGGCAGCCCCTGTGCACGCCATCCAGAACATCAGGTAAAGCCAGGAAGGTACAGGGAGGTCCCAGGCCCCACAGGGAGCAGCCACTGCTTCGCATAGTGCCTTTTGGTCCACACACAGTGCGTGAACCCCCCACTGGATGCACAACCACACCCCACACTGCAGGTTAAGACGCACATGTAGGAGAAGGGACCAGCAACATACAGAGACCCTGTGATCTTCAGGGATAGCACCCATCAACCCATCCCAGCGTCACACTCCTTGTGAAGCCTGGGTGACAGCACCAGACTCGGCCTGGCCACCAGTCCCCAACATCCCAGCAGGCACTGGAAAGATGCCGCCAGTCTGACTGGCACAGTGGCCCACCGTATAGAACAAATTTGAAAACAAACAACAGAGAGAAGTAAAAATACAAATAACCAAGCAAGCCCTCTGGGGAAGGAAACACCACAGAGATTATCAGCCACCAGAACTCAACAACAATGACATGGAAGAACTTATCTGCCTGACAGAGGTTTAGAATAAAGACGGCAAAAAGGAAAAAAAGGATCTAAGAAACATAATTAGTGAACTAAAGAATAAAACTGAGTCTTTAAAGAAGGAAATGCAGGATATTAAAAGATTAATAGAGGAGCTAAAGAACGCTTAAAAAGTAACAAAAACAGAACTGATAAAATGGAAGAATGAATCATCTGGAAGATACGGAAATGAAAAGAACCAAAAGAGAAAAGGGCAGAGAAGTACAAAGAAAAAAATAGAATAAAGAAAAACTTCAAGATCTATCTGATACCATGAGGAGAGGAAATGTGAGAGGTATAGGAATCTCAGAAGGTGAGAAGGCAACAAGAAACTATTCAAGGAGATAATCCAAGAGGACTTCACAAGAAAGAAGGCGATGAAAACTGACATACAGGAAACTAGAAGAACACCAAGTTACCTACACTATAAGGAAAACTTCAGCTATACACATAACAGGAAAGCTTCTAAGAGTCCAAAACAACTCAAAAATAATGAAGTTGATGAGGGGAAAGAAAGAGATAAGCTATAAAGGAAAACCATTCAGGCTGACCCGAGACTTGTCTAAAGAAACACCACAGGCAAGAAGAGAATGTTGGAACATGCTTAACAAACTCCAAGTCAACAGATGCCAACCAAGAATACTTTACCCTGCAAAGCTCTCCTTTCTCTATGAAGAAAAAAATAAAGACCCTCCCACACAAAAAGGATCTTCAGGAATTCATTACTACCAAAACTCACCACTTCAAAAAAATATTACAAGAAGCCCTAAAGCCAAACCAACAGAGGAATGAATAGGAAGAACAGAATAAAGTCAACGAATAGAACCAAAAAACACAAAGTGGCAAATATAGACACCAATGTATCAATATTAACCCTAAATGTAAATGGACTAAACTCATCAAGAAAGACACAGATTGGCAGACTGGATCAACAAACCAAAATCCAATCCCAAGAAACACATTAAACTATAAAAGATAAATACAGGCTGAAAATACAAGGTTGGAAAACAACCCCACAAGCAGACTGACCAAAAAGGGAGGGAGGAAAAGCTGTACTTAGATAAAATAGACTTCAAACTAAAAAAGGTAAAACAAGACATAGAATGTCACTACATTTTTATTATTATTATTATTGCCACAGAACAAGCCATACAGTACAAGCCAGAGGTGAAGGGTGTTAAGAGGATTCACCAGACGCAGCAGGGCGCAGAGCAGGCAAATCGATGAAGTCCACTGCTGAGGGAGGCAGCAGGGAGACAGGAGAGGCCTGCTGCACCCTGTGGGTCACCTCCTGGGCCGGGGATGGAACTCACACTGAAGCTGCTATGGCCAGCTTGCAGTGCTGCGTCCTAACCCGCTGCGCCACCAGGGAGGGCCACTATTATTTTTAAAGGGACAGTATATCAGGAAGATGTAACACTCATCAACATATGCTCCTCAATGAAGGGGCACCAAAATATATCAGACGAGAATTATCATAGCTGCCAACAGAAAACACCTGTGAGTGGAGACTCTTACCAACGGACGATGAGACCACACACAAGCATGGACACGAGAGCCCCGAATGAAGACCTGGACCTCACGGGCCTAACACACACCTACAGGACGCTGCGCCCAAAACATTCCAAGTACACATTTCGCTCACGTGCACATGGAGCTGCCTCCAGGGTTGATCACATGCTGGGCCACAAGACAAACATCAACAGCTACACTAAGATTAAAAAAAAAAAAAAAAAAAAGCCACCAACTATCTTCTCTGATCATAAGGCATCAAGCTAGAAACAAACCAAGAAAAGAAAGCAAGGAACCCTCCCACTTTAAGAAGACTGAAACCTGCACTACTGGAAGACCATGGAATTAATGAGATCAAAGAAGAAATGAAAAACATTTTTGAGATGAACGACGACGAGGCCACAACTTTCCAGAATGTACAGGATAGAGCAAAGGCAATAAAAAGAGGTGAACATTTAGCAATAGAGGCTCACATCAAGAAATAAGGGGAGAAAGCAAAGAAATAACCTAATCTCCCATCTCATAGAACTAAAAAAACAAAAAACCCTAAAAGCCAGAAGAGAGGAAATAAAAATCAAGGCAGAAACAAAACAGAATAAACAAAACAGAAAAAAAAAAATCCAAAAGTCCAAAAGTTCAACAAAACCAAAAGTTGTTTTTTCGAAAAAATAAATGGACAAACCTCTAGCCAGGCTCGCAAAGAAAAAAAGAAAGAAAGAAAACAAGAACAGGAGAAACACAAATAGGATCATAAATGAAAGAGAACAGACTCAGCAGAAACCAAGACTAACCAGATTACTATAAACGTTTACTTATAAACAAGTCCAACAATTTAGAAGAGATGGACTAATTCACAGAATAATATACCACCCAAAACTAGATTAAGAACAATTAAAACACCTAAACAGACCAATTACAAGCAGTGAAGATGAAACAGTAATCAAAACCCTCCTCCAAAACAAAAGTCTAGGATCAGACAGCTTCACAAGTGGATCCTACCAAACGCTTAGAAATGAAATAGCGCCTTTCCCGGTGCCTCGGAATTCTTTCAAATCCTCCATAAGCTCCTCTGAAGCAACTACTACATAATCCAAGACCAGACAAAGGCAATGCAAAAAGCAAAAGCAAACTGCAGGCGCCCTCCCTACTGCGCACGCATGCGATGTAGAGGTCCTCAACGAAGTCCTCGCCGACAGAACCCAACAACGCATCAAAGGGGTAACACACCCCGATCGCGCGGGATCTGCGCGGGCCAGAAGGCGAGTTCAACATCTGAAATGCAATCCAACACAACAAGAAGGAAAATAAAAACCTGACGACTGTATCAACAGATGCTGAAGAAGCACCTGACAAAGGTCGCCCGCCGTTTACGATGAAGGCCTCGAAGTCCTTGGGGCAGAAGGGGCATAGCTTGACCCGGTGAAAGCCACATATGACATGGCCAACCCACAGTATGATACTCAATGGTGAAAATCTGCAAGCCTTTCCCTCACAATCAGGATCAGACAAGGATCTCCACTCTTGCCATTGCTTTTCAATACAGTCACGGAAATCCCAGCCAGAGCAGCAAGACACGAGAAAGACGAACAAGGACGCCAACAGGGAAAGAACGAGCACGGCGACCACTATCTGCAGGTGACGGAACACACATACGCAACCCTAAACCCTCAGGAAACTCATTAAAATAATGAGCCAGTTTACAAAAGTAGCAAAATACAAAAATCAACAACACACAATCCTATAAGCAATCAATCTGAAGACATAAAAAAGCCATTACATTTACAATTGAAACAAACTAACCAAAAAACCAAATACCTGGGAATAGAAATCTAACAAAGGAGGTAAATGATCCACATAAAAGAAGATTATGAGACACTGTTAAAGGAAATAGAAGACACCCAAAAATGGAAAGACATCCCCTGTTCAGAAACTGCAAGGATTAACATCACTAAAATGGCCATCCTACTGATAGGAATTTATAGATTCGACACAATCCGGATATAAATTTCAATGATCTTCTTCAAAGAAATAGAACAAATATAAACAGCGCCGCAGTGAACACAGGGGCGTGGGCGTCCTTCGGGTTGAAGCTTCTGCGCTCCGTGGGTCGGTCCCTCGGGGTGGACTGGCTGGGTCAGGTAGCTGCATTTCCAGCAGTCTGGGCCCTCCGGGCGCTCAGCTGCTTGCGCTCCCACCAGTGTGGAGAGTTCCCCTTTCTCCACATCCTCCCGGCTTGTGGTGTTCTGTGGTGTTCGTTTTCCGTAGGTGCCTTCTCACCATGCGAGGTGTCTCTGCTGTGGTTCTGATTTGCATTTCCCTACCACAAGTGAGCTGACCTTTTGCATACACCTGCTGGCCATTGGCATTTCCTCTTGGGAGAAGCGTCCGAAGCTCTTCCGGCCACTTCTGACTGGGCTGCTCACGGTGTCTCCGGTGAGCCAAGTGCGCTGTGATCAGCCCCTTCTCCCTTGTAGGCAGCAAGAGTTTTTCTCCCGACCAGGGTGTCTCTTTCTTTCGGTTACCATCTCTCCCGCTGTAGGGACGCTTTTCAGTTTGATGAAATCCCAGGTGTTAATTCTTTTCCTTTGCCTTCTTTGTTTTGGGGGATGAGTCTTCAAAAATGCTACTGAGATGCATGTCATAGTTTTTTGCCTACATTTTCTTCTATGTATTTTATGGTTTCAGGTCTTATGTTTAATTCTTTTATCTATTTTCTGTTTGGTCTTGTGCTTGTTGACAAGAACATAAGCTTGAGAAAAATGGTGGGCCTGAATGTAAACCTGACTCAAATAAGCAATTTGGATGCCAAATGTAATCAAAGAGCTCTCAAATTGAGACAAGAACTATTAATGCAGGAGGAGAAAGAAAAGAAGAGAGAGTGAAAGCTAATTAGCCATAACAGTCACCGATGACAGAGAAAGCACTAGAAATCAAGTATGTGTGTGCTTGGCTTTAAAATCCTCTCACCCCAGAGTGGGGAATGGGATCAAAAACGGGGGGGGGGGGGGG